TACAGGTGAGGCTCTGCAGGCCAGCAGGAGGTCTCACCCCCGCTGCCACCTTCATCACTTCATGCTCTGCCTCCTTCTCAACAGGAAACTGGCGCTGAAGTTTTACCTCGACAAGAACCCTGACAATCCAGAGGCAGCGGACAAGTTCAAGGAGATAAACAACACCCACGCCATTCTGAACGACGCCACCAAGCGTAACATCTACGATAAGTACGGCTCTCTGGGGCTGTACGTGGCCGAGCAGTTTGGAGAAGAGAACGTTAACACTTACTTTGTGCTCTCCAGCTGGTGGCCGAAGGTGAGGGACACGGAGGAGTCTTTGGTTTGGTTAACGCTCCTCTCTCAACACGAGCTTGTGTTTGCTCCTGCAGGCACTGTTCATCTTCTGCGGCCTGGCCACTGGATGCTACTTCTGCTGCTGCCTGTGCTGCTGCTGCAACTGCTGCTGTGGGCGGTGTAAACCCTGGCCCCGCGAGAGCCCGGCCCAGGACTTCTACGTGTCCCCCGAGGACCTGGAGGCTCAGCTACAGTCTGATGAGAGAGGTGAGGCCGAGCGGCTGGTGTCGCTCCCGTTGCTCGCAGGTCAGTGATGTCATCGGCGCCTTAACGTGTGTTTCTGTGTCGAGAAGAGGCCGGGGGCGAGCCCATAGTGCTGCAGCCGTCAGCTACAGAGACAACCCAGCTAACATCAGACGGACATTACACCTACCACACCGACACCGGCTTCAACTAACCCACCCCCTGTCAGCCACACCAACACTGGCTTCAACTAACACACCTCCCCCCATCAGTCCCAATCTGGGGGGTCCTGCCTGCTTCCCTGCTCCATCTCTGACAGATGAAAGAAAGAGGCGATCCAACGAGAGCCATGGGGGGAAGGGACGAGCATGCATGGCCTGAAAGGAACCGATGGTCACATTTCCCTGCACCCCTCCTTGATCATGTCCCACACCCTCCACCCCCCCCCCATAAAGAAGAGAAGAGAATCAACTCATTTGTTTCCCTTTGATTTCTTCTTCTTCTTCGTTTGTTGACCTTTAACCTCGCAGGTCACCTGACCTTCCTCCTGTCCTTCATCATTTGCATCATCATGGTGTAGCATGCTCTGTGCTGGACGTTGTCACCTTTCCTTTATTCTCCTCCAGAGCATGTGTGAAGGAGTTCAGACCACAGGGAGGAGGTCCAACTGATGTTCAAGAGCCACACTTCAGGGAGGTGCTGGTTGGAGACTTGGTGGTCTCAGGTGGTCTCAGGTCGTCTGTTTCATCATAAAACCTTCAAGAACTGATCCACATCTGCACGTCTAATTTTCAGTCAGTGTTCTTTCAGGACTAAACGCTTGCTGACGGGTCCACTCGTTTCTCGTGTGAACGTTTTGAGCCATCCGGTGGTTTGGGAGCGGAGTTCTATTTTGTATATGCTTCGCCCTTTAAGGCTGTCGCTTAATGGGTTTATCCCGTTATGCGCAGCATTGCACTGAAAAAATTTAGTCCACGCCCACCTGCTGTGTGGGCCCCACCCGGTCCGTATAAATTACGTTAAGAGCAGGAAATCGGCTCCCATTTTTTCTTCAGCGAGCTAATAGCACTGTCAGAAGAACGAAGAAGGAAAGTTGTGTAGATGACCAACCTTTGTTAAGGATGCTTGGCCCGGCAGTCGACCTCCGGTCATCCGGTGAGTTCTCCTCCCCGAGGAGAAGCTGACAAGCAGTCTTATTTCAAGGTAAGCACCGAGGAATATTTCTCAGTGACAGGTCACTACACTCTGGACAACGCCATCTTGCAATTTTTCTCTTATCGCCGACCCTCGGAGCGAATCGGATGGTTCCTCTGGGACAGGCAGCAATCAGCTGCAGCCCCTCGCTGCTCATTCCCTCCTGGAGAGCGTAGTGTCGGTGGAGGGGGGCTGAGTGAATGCTCACCCCATCCCACCTCGTTTCGCATCGGCGATCACACTGCTCCCGGCCGACGGCGCCCTCAGGGGTTGCCCGGCGTAACCCAGGGGGCGGCTGGCATGAAGGGACCCCTTTTCTACGTCCCACGCCTTTTCCCGCCAGTTCGGATGATCCGGCGGGAAGGTTGTTTACTGGGTTCCATTCCGGCACACCGTCTTGATCCATATGGCCTCGTGTTCCAACAGGACGTCCTACGGGCGAGGCCACAGACGGTTCTTTCCTGGTAGATTGGGGGAGCCGGTCTCCACAGTCCGCACCCATCTCCAGAGCAGGGGTTCACTGAGCGGAAAGTCCCTCCGTGCCCCCTGGAGCCAAGCCTGATGGAGGCTTCATTGGAGCAAGATGTCGAGGTGGACCAGCGTCCCGTGCCTCCGGTTAGCATAACCGAGACGGTGACACTGCTCTCCAACTAAGCTTACCAGCATGCGTTCCACACGGCCGCAGCGAACAACACGTTATGCTGTTGGCGTACACGTTCAGAGGCGGGAAGAGACGTGGCCCTCTGTCCTTCGGCTCACTCCGCTCTCGTAGCGGCTGCTTGCTAACGATGCTGCCGGCCCCTGCAGTACGCTCCGTCTACAGGACAGCTGACGTCATCCTCAAC